TCAGAATATAAGGTGGGTATCACCGTAGAAGAAAGGAAAAAAGCAAAAGAGTGAAACTAAGGACATTTAGTGCATGATTGGGTACTTTTTCAGAGAGCAATAAGAAATGGGGACTTGTATTGCCAAGAGCCGTAGGGGTTGAGAGGTGATGTGGAATACTGGCTCGAATATAATGGCGAGGCAATTTGCATGAACTCGCCACACGATGAGAGGCGAGGCCTCGGAAACATAAGACACCAAAAAAATACTATATTTGGTGTGACCAAATATATAAGTTAAGATAAACAACGATTAAACGGAAATATCCCCGAGAAGCCAAAAACAGAAGTCATAAGCTTTTACTAGACTCGTATTTCATAAATAGCACTTGATAAATAAGATAAACCTATATAATAATATTAAAAGCAGAAATGAAATAAATTTAAAGATAAAATTTGTAGTGGTTGGAGGGAAAAAAAATGGAAAAAGAAAAGTACAAAAGAGAGAAAAGAAAGGGAACATTGTTAGATAAACAGCAGAAAAAAGAAAAGGAAAAAGTAAATATAAAGAGAGTAAATAAAATATTGGACATGGTCAACAAAAACAGCATAAGCGAAGAAATCTCTGAAACAGAACCGAAAAAAAAAAAAAAAAAATCAAAAAAGAGAAAAAGGCATCGCAACAAAGGCAGCAAGATGGTGGTTGGAGGAGGCTGTAACAAGTATGCATCAACCAGTGGTCCATCTAATTTTCAAATTAAAGTTGCGAAATTCGGTGTTTGCCAAATTTGTAAACACTAGGTCGCAATTTATTTATTTATTTATTTATTTATTTTCTGGGAAGGCGCACCTCTCACAGGCTCCTTCGGCGCCTACCTCATGCAGCGGCGAGGCGACTCCCACCTCCGTCGCTTCTCTCCATGGCAACGCCATTAGAACTATGGTGTAGAGGTTTATCAGGAGAATATATGGAGGCTTGAGGTGGTTAGGAAAGGAATCTTTATAAATGGTACGAAGATTCCGAGTTTCCCGCACTAAAAAAGGTGTCATCGTTGAGACATAATGTCCTTGGGTAATGGGATCGTAGCAGCAATACCCTTTCTGTGTTGGAGAGTAACCAAGAAATATGCGTTTAGAGATAGCTTGTAAGAGTTTGGTGTAAAGTTATGAACTAAGCACACACACCCAAAAACAGGAGGAGGAATGAAAGAGTAGCTTGTCACATGGAAACTTTAAGGCATTCTATTATTGAGATAACAAGCAGTCAGAAGCACATCCCCACAGAGGTATCTAGGTATATGCATGTGGGACATCAAAGTCCGGGTGCGGGTAGTAAATAGGGTCCAAACTATGACGATGCTTGTGTACAGCCACCCCCATTTTGTTGGCAAGTATAAACGCACAAGGTTTGACGAATTACCCCCCAAGTGACTCACAAAAGGTAGAAATATTTCTTTAAGTAAACTCAAGGGTATTATCGGTGAGAAAAATACGCAAATTTGTGGAAAGTTGAATCTTTATTACATTATGTAAAGATTTGAGTACATGACGAACTTGGCTTCTATCCTTGAGTAAATACAGTTGTTATTCTAGAATAATCATCAACAAGGATCACAAGGATAAGGAAAAAAGTCCCCACGAGACTTAGTTCAAATAGGAAAAGAGGTGTGGTGGTGGTTGCCTAACTAGTTTTTTGCCACAGTTTTGCCACACCAGCTTGCTTTAGACTAAAATGCTGATGAACTTTGTCTTATTGTTTATTCTCCTTGGTGGTTTATAATTTTTTTTGGGTTGTTGGCTCATGTTATAATGTCGATATTTGTTAGTGCTACATGCTATTGACTTGCGTAGTTGTGTGATTGGGTTATTTGTGGTGCAATCTGCAAGATAAAACAATCAAGATACTAGAAACAAGACATACCTGTTGTTCCTGATGAGAAAAGAATATTTGTGAATGCCTCAGCTGTTTGTTCAACAGCGACAAACTCAATTTCCCTGCAAGTGAACATTTTTTTAACATGAGAAAGTAAAGCAAGCAGATACTATCCAATAGAATCCACAGTTTGCCTTGATGCACATGTCAAAATGATATATTGCATGTCTGAATTCATTTGTGTCAAGATTATATCTCAATTCTCAACTATGATGTCAGAAAGCATAAGAACTCCACAAAAGAATAAACACTGACCCAAAAATAGCTGTGAACCGTGACTAAAATTATGATTTCTAATTCACAAGTCTCTCAAGCTAAAAGCTTCATCTAGCACTATAATCTTAGTCATAGGTAATGCTTAATGGACTTCACTCATTCTAAACATTCATAAAAAAAAAAAAAAATGGATCCATTATGATTTCTCTACATCTAAAAGTTTGGATACTGAAATACCTAAAGATCAAATTGATATCGCTGCTTACTTGGAATCATTTGCTCTCTCAAGAAAATCCTGCCAAGACATGTCAATATCACGTAACTTCATGCTGAAACTGGGGCCACCGGTGGGAATTACAATCGCCATTGGTGACTGAGCTTCAACAACTCTACTGCAGTAGGCAGAAACAGGTGTGAGGAAATACAAATATGAGACAAAGTGAACAATGAGCAAAGTAGACAGATGGATTTTTAGTCCTATATTTCTACTGAGCAATTTCTCTTTTTCAATGTTTCACACTGGGTGAAGTTTATTAACCCTGCCCCTTAAGCTTAAAAATGTGAAATGTCAAAAGAAAATAAAAATGCATGCTCTGGGAATCATGATTGCTTGTATTTCCTGGTAAACTAAGCAGCCATAGTTTAGACGACAATCATCTGCAAATGAAATATAAATAACCTTCTTTATCATCGGTTGCAAGCACTATAGATACCATTCGTAACTTGATTGACGAACATTATAAGAGAAGAATTTTACCTATGCCAGTTTTTTTTTTTTTTTCATCCAATGGCAGATCTATATACATTCATACGTCAATAGCACAAACTTTAAGCGAGAAAGACAGATCACCTGTACAAGGGAAGTTTTCTGTCCCCACGAATGATGAAATCCTGGGAACAAAAAAACAATTTCAGAGGAGATTAGACAATAGAAGAGAGGGTCTGAATCAAAGATCCAGCACCCCCAGTTGATGACAACAAACACATCAAGCACATATTTTGCGACTTGATGGCTTCATCGGAAGTGATATGAGCACCAATATAAATGTTCCTATTGGTGCAGTACACATCAACAATTCTGAACACAACTACAGCAATCATTTTGTTCTAATCTCCTTTTCATTACCAACTGTTCTAACTGAGTTGTAGATAATGATAATCTGTTTGAGATTAACCTGAAGTTCATTTACATGTTCATTGGACTAAAATAAGGTTTCAAGCAGCCATCAGATACATGTTAATGCTTCCATTGATATAGAAGTAAAGAGATTCTCACCTGAGTGAAAATTGCTTGTGCTTTTGATATTTGGAGCCTTGTGGATATTTCTTCGGGGGCAAAACTATCAGCAATAGACACAACTATGTAACCGGCAAGTACTATGGCCAGATAGATAACCACGGAAGTAACATTCATGGGCA